GAACAGAAAGATGCTCCTCAAGAATAAGAGAGCAACCTGTAAGGAGTCAACAAGATCCAGAAACCAAGACCTTCCACATGAATGCTTTAACACTCGAGCCCGAAGTTTGGCAGCAACTTTATAAGCAACTGCATTCACTAAGACAAAGAAGCAACCGAAGTGGTCTCCCAAACATCACAAATGTCAGAAAGGTGAGGCAAAATGACCCCTAAACTTAACAAATATAATACAGGAGAAAAAACTATGTTTGCCAGGGTTACAAATCTCCATGTGACATCGCTACACATTAAGCGGAATCCTGTGCTGTGTAGTGCAATATGCCGAACACTTTAGAGGCAAAACAAATGTACAAGTGGTATGACAGGTCACCAGGTCTTCTGTCCCTTGAAAAAAGATTGATAAACATGTCTGGAAATCAAAGCAAGAATGCTTGGCAACCAATAACATAACCCTGTCAACACAGGAACCAGCAAACATGCAGACCAGGAACAGGAGAGCATATAATATGGTACTGCTTGTGCCCTTTTTGCCCTGAAAGATTGAAGCCTAGCAGCTTCACGTTCTGATTCCTAAGTTACCAATAACTTTAGTTTCTATTGATCATAAGATGCAAACTCAGCTAGAAGTAGTAGTAACGTGTTCATAAGATCTCTGCTTTCCAGTTCCAGTGGAATTGGATACCCTTGGCATGTTTCTCTCTCTAGCCTTATTATGTACCCAAGTGGCCCCTAAGGCATTGCCCAAGTTGTTTGCACTGCTATGGCATTGTAATGCTTAAAGGAGGTTTATTCTTAATTATTTTCATGAGAAAGTACAATCTTCTGTTTTTTTCACTAGTCTCACCTCGTCTCTTTCCCAGAGGATGAGGTGATCAGGGTTCTGGGAATGACGAGTGCCTCCTTCCAGCCCTTTCACCAGATGTTCATGCTGAAATTAGTTTCAGCTTCCACTTCTTGACGAAGGTCTGGTATGTTTCTTTCTTGGGTTCTGGGTCAAGGTAGCAGTTCTGCAGCATCTGGTTCTAAAGAGGTATGCTTTCTCGTGGTCATTAGTTGCCATTATCATGGAACAAGTGCACTCCTGCAGCTGATCATGGTCAGGGTCAGTCTTGGCTGCCCTTGTGTGGTTAAGTCCCTTTGATGGCCAAGAAGCAAGACACCTTCACATAGACTTTGTATTCAGGATTCATGGGTGTTTCAAAAGTTTTTTTTGGGGTGTTTGTTGGTCAAGTTCAATTGTTTGCTTTCAGGTTCCCCATCACCTGCTCAGATGTCTACCATATTACTGTACACAGGTTTTGCTCCATCGTTCATAATATGCTAGAGGGGGGTGTGATCACTAATTAGCTATATAGTCATACTGGCTTCACACATTCTCATAAACCTTACCTTGTTCCCTATTCAAAAGAAAGATTTGCCTCAGCCACACTTCATTCTCAATCAGTCATGGTTTAATAAACACATTCCCTGCTGTTCAACATTTTGTATGGCCGATTTGTCCCAGGATAACTAAATTAGTTCCCTACAGACTTTGCTCATTTTCTTGGACCTGTATGATGTCTATTGGCATGTTCTGATCCATCTGCTATTTAAGGATTTACTGGGTTTCAACCAAGTCTCTTTGACTACCACTTTCTGACAATACCATTCAGTCCTAATTTAGCTTTCAGAACCTTCAGCAGATTAGATCACGGCATTCTATGACCTACGTCTCCACAGAATCTGAGTGCTGGGCTATCTAGATGACTGGTTGGTTTGGGCCAACAATCACACTGCACATCTCTAACCAGTGATTCAGTTCTTCAGGTATTGATGTGTTATGACTTCCTGGCCAACATTTGAAAGTCCATGCTGGTTCTGATACAGCCTCAGACTTGGTTAGGGTTTGTTTTGAGTTCCAAGATGACCAATCAGCCCTCACCATACCTCTTTTGGTTTGTCTGATCGTTGCCAAGTTTTGATCAAACACCAAATTTCTCACCACACGCTCACGTGGATGATTGGTTGCCTAAATTTTGCATGCACTGTTTACCCACTGGGTCAGGTTTGGCTGAAAGCATTATACCATCTTTTACATTTGTGAGGTCAGTGGCACATACCAAAGATTGCTTGGTGAAGGTTTCAGTTAACACAAGAGAGATTTTGCATTGTCATTTCTTGGGCATTGTCATGGGGAGCAGGGCCCATGTCTGAGAATGAGATAATAGTAGAATGGATGATGCTGAGGCACTGAGTTTCAGTGACATGCCTCCACTCAAATTGTTTTTCCTGTGGTGGTGGTGGAGGATGCTGCAGATAGCACCTCCTTTAGATTTTAGGGGTTTAGTCCTCAGTACAGTCAGCTACCTCAAACATGCTCACAGATGGTCTCTCCCACTTTTGTCTATTCTCAACAGAACGGGTGGTGGACAATGGTCCTGTGGTTATGTATAATGAATACAGTACAGAGGTAAGATATAAGCCTTCTGAAAAACAAAAATAAACAGATTGCACTACTGAATATGGTAAACTTAAGCATTCAAATTTCTAATTGGATTCAAGTAAGTAGGCTATGTTTACAAAAATCAAGAAGCCAATGGGGACTAAAGTACTATATAAGTAAAGCCATACAATGTGTCCCCACATACATATCCTGTTCAGTACATAATATTACTCACTTGATCTAATTGTGACCCATCCGAGTCCAAACGCAACATCTCCAAAATGCACCTTAAGACCAACACTTTCATCTCGGCTGCTCTCCACGTTTCTAATCTATCTAAGGTAACATCCACATATCTGAAAAAAATTAATATTGATATAAATATATAAAAATAAAAAAGCAACTACTAAGTTTTTAAGCTGGAAAATATATTAGGAAAATATTTTCATACAAATTGGAAAAGGAGAAATTTTGAAGCTTTGCTGAAAAACCCCAATGTCTAGAAAACTTAACTAATTAGACATAACAAAGAATCAATGTAATGTACTATAATTTAAAATTTAAATAGCTGTGATTGTTAGTACAATATACTGAACATTTCCATAATATAGCCAATATTTGAATACTGTAATATGCATTATTTCTTTAAGCAATTGAAGAAACACAGTAAATGATACTGTATTCGTTGTACATTTATGTTTCTTAGTCATAATTTTTAAGTACCTGTATTCACATACAATGTCATAAGCAGTTCCCAATTAAATCTCAAAATTCAATTAAAAAAATTAATGATTTTTATTTAGAAATACAGTACACCATAATAGGAATAGACTATATTGGTAGATGACGTATCGCCTGTAAACATCAAATCGAAAATACAGAAAGCCAGTCCAGTACTGTACTTAAAACGGACAAAAATGGTAAGGGGCGAGGTCAGCAAGGCAAAATGTTGTGCTAGGTCAAAAAGAAGAAGGCGAGAAACACAAGTTACAATTCATATTTTTAAGTGGTAATTAAGCTGGAGGGGTAACAGTATCAAATTGTCTTTCATTTTGTTTAACAGCGTCACTAAGTTTGATGTACATTATCTGCTCGAGCTTTTTCTTCTGAGTTTAGTGTCCCTAAAGAATACATTTGACAGAAATATTACAAGTTTGAGATGAACACAATTACAATACCAAATCACCAGTCTTGTAATTGACTAAAGGAGTCAGTTGTTTGTCATGATTTCTGTCCAGAGAACATTGCAGATCTTATTTTAGGTGACAACCAAATACAATACAGCTCAGAAAACACAAAATAATAATAATCATCAACACAGAGCAACAAATATCCAATTTTGAAATAAGCATCAGTTTTATGATAACAAAAGTATCTATAGTGAACTGCCTAATGAGGGGGAATGTGTGAATTTGCTTATGATGTTAAGACTGAGCACAAAGATGGAGGCAACATTACTAGAAACAGCTGAGGCCTTGGGAAAGCCACTGAGCATATTTAAAACTAAATTCTCTGCATCTTTTTTATTTCCAGTTGCAGAGGTTTTTGTTCAGTAAAATATGGGACCTTTTTCCTTTGAAAATTAGATTTCAAGACCTTGGGCGTGAGAAATTTGTTAAATGTGGTTAACTCTTTACAGGCAAGGTTCTCTTGGTTATTGCCCTCCAGAAGACAGATTAAATTTATAATTTCACTTAATGAAATCAGCCCATAGAGCCTGTGATATATTAGGTATGAATGGTATCACTTTTTTTTAATGATTTGTATAGATGGGCACAACATTCCAAGAAATAGTAAGGGGCCTTTAGGAAAGCCATTGAGCATATTTATTACCAAATTCTATGATTCATTTTAAATTTAAGATTCCCCAGTTTTCATTCACAAATATTGGTCCCTTTTCCTTTGAAACTTGACCAATATTTTTGTGGGGAAATATGGTAGATATAGTTAAATTCCTTTACCGACAGGTTCTTTTGGTAGTTGTCCTTCACATGACAAGCTGAAATTAAAATTTTGCTGTGACATCAGCCAATGGAGTAGGGGAAAATATTAGGGTATGAATGGTAGCTCTCTTAATATGGCTGCAATCACATTTTTGATGATTTTTGTAGGTGGAATCAACATTATGAGAAACAGTTGGAGCCTTGGGGAAAGCTATTGAAAAGCCAAATTTTATGGTTTGTTTTCATTTTGAGTTGGCAAGGTTTTTTTTGTTCAGTCAGGTATGCCTGACAAGGAATTACAAAACTGATCAGGCTGGAGGCCTGGTTGAGGACCGGGCAGTGGGGACGCTAATCCCCGAAACCATCTCAAGGTATGGCCCTGCTACAATTTGTAAATGAGTTTTAAGGATGTGGATGTGAGAATGAGCTAGATGTGGTTACATTTTTTTTGCAGATGTGTTCATTTAGTTGTCTATTATATTATAGATTAATAAAAAAAAAATTACCAAGTGAAACTAGCTGATAGTGCGTAGGAAATGCATCCTGGAAGCATCTCCGGTTGCAAACTGCAATGAATTGGCTTTGGTCCCATATATTTCAATGAATAGAGGTTGCATTGTAGTAACAAAAATCAAAATACATCTGCATGAAAAACATTTTTGCAACTACCCTGTATTTTTATGTAACCCTTTTACTACTATAACAATTGCAAAATAGGCAAACAATAATTAAAAATTAAACTGCCAGCATAGCTATAATTGGTTAAATTATACTGAACTGTATAGCAAATTTGATCAGAAGTCAAAATTGAATTTTTACTGTTCCACTTCATTTACTTTAATGTCTACAGTAATATTTTTAATCTCTGATGCATATAAATGTTTTGAAATGCTGCACCATTTAAACATTTTCATGTGCATCTTTTCTCAAAATAATTAACAAACTGACACAGTCACTATTCCTAACATAATGAACTAACATTCTAAACAGTGTATGGGTACAGATCAAATATTTCCTCTTACCATATTTGTTGAACTTTGCAAATTTCCTACCAATGTCAGTGTATTAAATAACCAAATTCTATAGGACAAAACAATGTTGACCAGTCCACACACTAGAAGGTGAAGGGACGACGACGTTTCGGTCTGTCCTGGACCATTCTCAAGTCGATTGTCGACTTGAGAATGGTCCAGGACGGACCGAAACGTCATCGTTCCTTCACCTTCTAGTGTGTGGTCTGGTCAACATACTTCAGCCACGTTATTGTGACTCATCGCCTGCACAGGACAAAACAACAGAGTGAAGATCTTTAACCTGTAGCTGCTGAACTTGTGCAAGATAGCGCTCCGAGTCATCCTCACGGGATAACCTCCTTAACTGTTTAGATATTCTGGAATCTTCGCTGAACCCTCGACTTAACTCTGTAAAAGAGTAATACACTAGTTTTGTTATATTAACAGTGCATGAGCAATAAATAGATGCAATTCACATTTAGTCACCATCTTATACACTAGGAGAAAATAGGAACACACTATCTTATCCTTTAAGTTGTGCCATTAAAATAATGAGGGTCCTTCCAAAGGAGCAATTTGGAAAAAAAAAATATGTACAAGATTCTTTGGAAAAGACGTTTCAAAATGTTTAAAAACAAAAACAATTTTGCTCTACATTATACAAGAAGGTGATATCACAAATACTATCATGCACCATTGTCATAAATATTAACCAACATATATCTTAAACAATTCCTACTTGGTAACTGAACTAGAGTACAGGTACATGAAAACACTATACAGTATGAGTAAGGTACACAAATGTAATGTTAAATACCTTTATGTGGGCGGTGCTTCACAATATCCATCTTTTCTGAATCTCCTTTGGCTTCATCCTCTCCAGGGTGTCCTTGTTCCAGAACACTACGCCGTTCGCCTGGGATCACATGACGATGATGTGTCAGGCCTCGACGGTATCGACCACTCCCTCTCCCTCCTCCTCCTCCTCGATACTCACGATGAATCCTTCCTCCAATACCGCCATCATCTCTATCAATTCCGCTACCTCCTACCATGGTTTGAGTCACTTCAACTAACTCTGAAATAGATATTGGCATTGAGGCTTAAGTAAAAACACAGGGGAGAAAATTGGTATTATTAATGATGTACTGTATAAGTACAACATAATACTAGAGCTTGTCCTCTTGCTGTGACCAGTGCCTAATTATTTAAGCACCTGGATTATAGCTAATGTTGACATACTTGCTTAAAATACACTAATGAAACTATATTGATTAATTAATGCTTTAATATGCACAAAACCTAACTACTGCAGAGGACAGTTAAAACCTAACCAAGCCCAATGATGAACTTTAGAACTTTTTATTTAATACAAAATCTAATGCCCTAATGACTATCTATATACCTAAGCTCTTAAATGAATAATTGCATTGGTTTTTGCATGCATTTAATTGCGATACATCTGAACACATGAACAGAACAGGTTGAAAACTGCAATACTGAATGACCGTATACTAAGTACTAGATCTACGTAACACTGGTATTTGTAATACACAAGTGAAACTTTTTTGTACTAGCACAAATACCTCATTAAAGAAGTTAATGGTAGCATACATTATCAAACTTACAACTCGTCTTCATCTCACACTCACTCTTTTACACGTTGTCTCATTGCACTACTATAGTTTTAATTGCAGAGACTTTTGACAAATATCCCTTTGAAATCCTTTTAATATTACAGCATGCACATTGTATTTCTTAAAATGTTTTTGTGTTTGTACTGAAATAGATTTGCTTAATATTATTTGTTATGAAAACATACAAAGTAGACTGGTGGGTTGGCAGACGTGTTGGGTCCCTGGGGCTCAGATACTGTAAACAACTTGAACCACTATGCACCTGGCTTCTCAGAGTTATTACATTTAATTCTGACAGTATTTTGTTCTACCTGGTAAGACAACCTGAACATGGCCGTGACAGATGACTATGTTTGTATGGTGACTGTCTGATGACCGAATGTGACAATAGGTCACTGCATAACTGCCAATGTGTAATTACCTTAGTGTAGCAACAGGATCAAAGCTACACTCATGCTATCCATCTTCCCAGTACTCTTTGTCATATAACGCTTTAAAACTACCGAGTTTTAGCTTCCACCACCACCTCACTTGACTTGTTCCAACTGTCTACCACTGTTTGTGAAAGTGAATTTTCTTATATTTCTGTGTTTTCTTTGTCACGTGAATCCCCCTGCATAGCAGTGGAAATGCCTTTTTCCCTCACCTTCAATGCCTCTGCACTGGAAGTCCACCTCACACCAACCCAGGTGAGTCATCGGTCCTGCCACCTCTCCACCTCTCCGTACCCCTCAGGGCCTGGCACGGCCTGGTATGACACGGTGGTAAGCCGAGCGCCTCCACTAACCTGTAGTTTGCCTTCACAAACAAGTAGTTAGCCGCCTTCAATTAGCAGTGGGGCGCCTCAACACAAAGGCACCGCCAGCCACAAACTAGCAGTTTGCTAGTTGACCAGATGTCCACCTTGCATTGACACCATATGAGTCATCACCGCCAGACTATATAAGGGGCACCACCTCCCTGGAGAGCCAGTCTCTATCTTAGTGCTCTTGGAAACACCTTAGCCTCCTGCAACGTAGTCTGCCCTCAGCCAACGTTGTATGCCAGATGCTATGGTGGTATGGTAGTTGTCTTCAGCACACTTTTAGCACAGTACAGTACTTTTGTATTAGATTTAAACTTTCATTTACTTTACTTATTTTATTTGTTCTATAATAACAGCCAAGTGTTCTCAGGTGCCATTTTTGTTCATTAATATTTCAGTATACTGTATTGTTTTAATTATTTATTTGATGATTTTCATTTGTTTCCACCTGCGACCTACACACTGCAAGGGCCAAGAGCAACATTTTTTGTTTTTTGTGTGATGGAGAGCCATACCATCTTGGTTTAGTATAGCTGTGATACCACAACCCATCACATCTTATATACACTGTGTATGATTGAAGCTATGTCTGATGATTGTAATGGATGATTCATGACTGTCTACTGCCTAATGATTGTAATTAAAAACACTGATAGCTACCCGAGTCGGATGAGTGTGACTTTACTGTCTACCAACCGATGACAATGCTTGCTGATGGACACCTGCCCGATAACTGGTGATTATTGATGATAAACACGATTTTTAATACCCAGTGTCTATTTCCTCAGCTACCCTCACCTAATTTAGCATATGGATTCCCGGTTCAACCTTGATAATGGGCAGCAGTCTGACTCCTGCCCCCACCTAGGAGTTATTCAAGGAAGTGTTGTGCTATCTGCCCATTGGGTCTCATTACTGTCATAAGGTAGTAATGAGGTAGTAGGTAGTTACTCTTTAACTGTCTGGATTGACATGGGCACATAATGCCTGGTGTAACAGGCAAGTCGATTGATTTTTTCCAGTTTTCAGTTCAACCTTTGGGTAGTAAAAGCGGTCTGGTGCTGGCTTGATTAAGTGGTGCAGAGGGTCAACCAATCTTGGTGGACTTTGAATTTGGTGGATGTATGTTGCTTTTGTTTTGTTGGAGGCCACTGGAAGACATTATTGGAATTTTGTCAGACTGGGCTCAAATTATGGGGCCCCTTCATGGGTCTGCCATTCAGTTATGACATTTATTTTACTACCTAGAGTTTCACAGGACACCTGATGTCCATATTGTCTGGGGTTGCTGGGTGTTGATAGTCTTCCAGTTGGTCCTCAGTGAGTGGAGTGGAGGTCCAGCACTTGCCTCTGGTGTGTGCCTACTCTCAAGTCTGAATCCAAACAATAAACACCATCAACTTAAGCAAATTAATTTCATAAACACAAATAAAAAAAAAATTATAGCAAACAATTTGAACTGAACCCAAACATGTTTGGATGACGAAGGATTTTGTTATTTCAAAATATGCTTGAGTGAGATCCCACTGTACACTGATTAATTGACAAGACATTTTCACTGTGATAAGCAGGAGTATTTCTTTGCGAGAAAAAATCATTCACTGTGATAGATAAGTTTTAAATATAGCACAGTAACAAGTTTCAACAGTTGGTAAGGTGTGTACATACATTTGATCTTTAGAACAGTACTTTATGTTTGGTAGCAAAAGAGGGGAAGTCTCTCCACAATCAGCTTATCTAAATCCATCAATAATCTTAAAATTTTATTTGCCCAAAATGCTGTGTGTACTAGTGGCTTTAGGCATAGTATATAATAGCTCTATCTAGAAATCTAACATTACATTTATATATACAAGAGTATTTACATTCTTATACAGCCACTAGCATGCATAGCATTTCTGGCAAGTCCTTAGTCCTATGTTCACTGGAATACGACCCGCCAAATCGTTTAACAACCAGGTACCCATTTTACTGTTGGGTAAACAGAGGCTACAGTTAAGGATTGAAGCCCAGTTAATCCTCCCCGACCAGGATACAAACCCAGGCCAAAGTGCACGTGAAATGCCAGGCAAGTATGACACTTGCCTGGCATTTCACGTGTCATACTACTAACTCAATTTAATGTGTCATACTACTTCGCCACGGGGACTTCGGTTTGTAACAAATTTTGTATGTATGTACTTTTACCTGAATACAAATTATTATTACTATTATTATTATTAATTAGCTTCTGTTCAAGATTCAGTCACCATTAGGTGTGCTTCAATGGTAAATGGTATACATATATGAGTAGAGCATTTTTCATATTAGAAACAAAGTTATTTTATAATTCTAATCAACTGAATATATAGATATTCTGTTCTGGAAATATTTATTGCTTGTTATATATTAAGTAACTTGGCCAATATTTTCTATTAGAAAATGAACTAAAAATAAAAAATAAATAACTTTTATAATAGCCTCCTGTTGACTTCAGAAAAGTAGAAGGCCGAATATTAGGTGCCATTGCGATCTGGTAAGTATTATATTTCCCAAGGCTTAGAACCTTACATTTGTCAAAATTAAAATAAAAAATGTCCAAAAGCCCGGCGTGACTCCCCACAGCAAAGCCTAAAGTTACCCCGTGAACGAGCAACAATCACAACCTAATGTGTATACTCATTCAGTTTGATGACATCAATTTTCGTGTTATTGTCTTTCATTTTGGTCTCAAATTGTTTGCAATATAAAGGCGCGTATTTTAAAACTAGTCCCATAATATTAGAGCAATAAATGGAATTATAACAAATATTTTAAGTTTTGGATGCACATCATCACAAAATTATTTGTATCTTTCCAGTGTTCTGACATCGATTTTTGTGTTACAGTACATCTTTCATTTTAGTATCAAATTGTGTGCAATATAAAGGCGCACATTTTAAAACTAGTCCCATAATAATAGCACAATAAATAGAATTTTAACAAATATTTTAAAATTTTGACCAAAACGTATTTATAATCAATAAAGTGTTCTGATATCAAGTTTCGTTTTACATCTTTTATTTTGGTATCAAATTGTGTGCAATTTAAAGGCGCTCATTTTAAAACCACTCCCAGACTGATCGGATAAAATTTAAATTTTAACAAATATTTTAATTTGGTGACGCATTATGTGTCACTGGATATGACTCAAGAGAAAATTGGTGACGCATTATGTGTCACAAGATGGAAAGTGTTAATTTTCTAGTTTGGTGCTCATTCTGTCAAGCATGGCACTCTGTCAGTCAAGTTAAGCACAGTTAGATCTGGCCAATAACTGGATAAGTGGGTACCCTGATACCTGTAATCATACCACTTGCTACGACAGAAACCTTGATAATCCTAGATGTTTAGTTGTTTGGTGTTGGGATTTAAGAGCTACAGCAGATGAGGTGCATATTGATTCATACCACCCAGTTTTCTGAATAAAACCACAATTGGAATTTAATTAGCCTATACAGTATTAGTTAACAAAATTTAGTACCAAATGGCTAAAAGTAAGAGCCTTGTAGTGAAAATAGCATGTTGCTGCAGTATATATAAATCTATCCCTCGATCATCGTCGCCCCCTCAATCAACAACAATATATATAACTCTAGCGGCTACAAATATATGTTCACTGGGAAAGATCCATAACCCGTTGGTCTGGCCACCACCAGACTCAACCCTGCACAAGGATTAAACTAGAAAAAAATTATCAATAATAAGCCAATAATCATTCCACCTGGGTAATTAAAAATGTTTTGAAAATCTCACAGAATGTTCACAAAAATTCTCAAATGTTTTCTACCAACCCTCAAGCAGGGCCCTTGCAGTAGTTGGCAATACCAGTATACCTATCATACAATAAATACTCTAAGTTACTGGGAAAATATTAGGAGTTGGTGTGCTACAACTTGGAAGTGTAAAGATGACTGTAAACTGATACAACACTGATAGCTGATAGCTTTCCAAGAATATACAAATACCAATCTTATGTAATCTCACCAACTCAATTGGTGTTGGTGAGATTACACCAAATGGTATATTCACCACTACTTGTGAATTATTATTATTATTATTATTATTATTATTATTATTATTATTATTATTATTATTATTATTATAACACCTTCGACAATCCTATCTCTAAAGCACTCCTGGGATGTAAACAAACAACAGTCTTCCTCACAATAACAAGACGGCATCCTGCTCCATGTTTATAATCTTCAAGCTCAGTCCATCTCCCACTACGCCAGTCATCAGGGCACTGAAGTACCAGCTTGCGTTAAAGTTTGCTTTCCTCGCCACGAGGAAATAAATGACCAGGAGGACCAAATCACCAAAAGAAACCACCAAGAACACTGAATCCCTGGGCCAGTCACCAGCTGAACCCCAGACCCTGCTAGTTCCGTCTCATGCAACGTTCACATCTCGCCACTTTCCAACTTATTCACATATTTTTTCAGTAAGAATAAATACTAAACAATTTTGATACGTTTCAATTTAACAAATAAAATTATTTGTGTAATTATTAAACATAAACGAAAAAAGAGTATGTCATAGTGGAGTAATGAGAGGTAACTTGCAGCACGCGGAAATAAGTGCCAAAGAGAGTAAATGTAACTGTTTATTTCTCAAAAATGTGTCTTTTCTTTTCTTTTTAGATTTCAGAGCATACACAAATACCGAGAAACATGTATAAAAACTCGGTCACCCTACCACGTAGTCTATTAAACAAGAACATTAGGTTAGATTGTTTATAATTATTTATAATTATAGTCAGGGTAGCTTAATTTGGTTAGCTTAATTTATTTTTTATTTATTTAATTAATTATACAAGAGTTTTTACATTCTTGTACAACCACTAACACGTCCTTAGTCCTTAATCCTAATTTTCACACGCATACTCAGGAAGCAGCCCGTAGCAGCTGTCTAACTCCCTAATTACTACTAGATGAACAGATGCATCAGGGTAAAGAAACTTCCCATTTGTTCCCGCCTCCGCCGGGAATCGAACCCGGGCCCTTAGGACTACGAACTCCGAGCGCTGCCCACTCAGCCGTCAGGCTCCCCTTCACTCCTTTAGTTAGGTTTGACTAGATTTAATTAGTATTTGGTTGGATTATGTTAGGTTGCGTTAGGTTAGGCCCTATATACCAGCCCATTCTCCTGTTAAGATCGTATACTTTTTGTAACTATGTGCACTACAGCATCCACATAGTTACAAAACTATAGTTAGGCTATAGTTACGCTATATATATTGACGCTATGTATATTGGCGTAATGGACAATTAGATAGTAGACTTTGGTACTATTCACTTTATAGTCCAGAACAAATAAAGCTAAACACCAAACTCGAATATTTCTAGGCCTAGTATAGCACATATATGAACTATATTAGGTCTATGATGGTTAGGTTAGGTTTTATTAGCAACATAAATACAAAATCCTTTTCAGTTTGTCCAAATTCGATTGTACCAAATTCTACTTTCTAACTATCAATTACGTCAATATATGTACGATAGTCCACATCGTTACTACAAGTATCTAAACACAAGGATGGGCTGACCTATATGGTTCTTTGGTAAGTTATCTCAGTAAAAATAAAAGCCAACCAAATTCTAGGAATATTCAGACATAGTTATTCAACTCTATAAATCCCTGGTGCTTGTATTATTGTATCCAAGAATGGGGACCTCATCATCAGAAAGTTGTTGTTTTAGATTCAGCTACTGGGAACAGTAGCTGTTCTGGAGTACCCAGTAGCACGGGCTATGGTGAGCCCGTAGTGGACCTGGCACAGGAGCGGCCTCTCCCGGTGAAGGCACCCGATGTGTGTGTCTGTGCGGATCACATGACCCTGTATGACTAACAGCCCTGTAAGATGGGTAATTTTAAGCATCACGTAGAACTAAACAAATTTAGTTCTACGGCCTCTCGGACGTAGGTTCGAATCCTCGTCATGGCCCTTGTGGATTTGCCAGGATCAGGTTGGGTTACCGTTACCTGTGGCAGGTGGCTACAGGTGATGGATCTCCCAATCCTGAGCACTCCAGGTGCAAACTCTGTGAGCAGGAATTGGGTACATGATCTCCCACACACACACTATTGAATGTCCAATCATTAGGCCTATCAGACCTGCCGGCATGAGGTACCTGGAGCTAAACAATCACTTTATTAGCTCGTGTTCTTGAGGATATCCTCGTAACTATATCCATCAGGGGGAATAGGGGGACCTTTGACAAGCCGCCAGCTTCCTGTCCTCGTCGAGGCCACTAGTATTATAGGCCCTCAGGTAAATAACGCGCCTGATGTGTGTCTGTGTGGATCACATGACCCTGTATGACTAACAGTCCTGTAAGATGGGTAATTTTTAGCATCACGTAGCTATAGTTCTTGACACACTGTATAACCCTTCACAAAGTCTTGACACACTATGTAATCCTCCACATAATCCTAGCTGCATAACAACCACATGTACCTGAGTATGATAATTAAATAAAAATAGGCAAGGGTTCCGCATGATCAAATTTCCCTGTAGAAATGAAGCCCCGTGAAATGTGATACGCAGAACAGTGCTTCTCTAAATAAAAGGTAAATAGGATACACTGGTGTTTTAATAACATTTTATTAAAAATACGAAACGGGTAAATACGTACAAACAATGATTTGGGCTACTTTAAAAGGGCGATTGCCACATTTACGTTATAAGCACATTATAAATGTAATAATAATAATAATAATAATAATAATAATAATAATAATAATAATAATAATAATAATAACAGCAGACACAAACATAGATTACTTTGGCCAGTGAGTCTGAGCAGAGCTTTCGAATTTCAATCGGAGAAGGTAGTGCCAATTGCACAATTCATTGGTGCATCTTAGAACACACTAGAAAAGGCTTTCGTTATGATGAAACTAAGAGAAGAGGCCTCGGTTATGATGAGAGAGAAGAGGCCTTCATTATAATGTAACGTGGAGATGGCTTCTGTTATGACGGGACACGACAGATGGGGTCACGAGGGGTCGTGGGTGTAGGAGGGGTCACGAGGGATCGTGGGTGCTGTAGGGGGGGTCACGAGGGGTAGTGGGTGCTGTAGGAGGGGTCACGAGGGGTAGTGGGTGCTGTAGGAGGGGTCACGAGGGGTAGTGGGTGCTGTAGGAGGGGTCACGAGGGGTAGTGGGTGCTGTAGGAGGGGGTCACGAGGGGTAGTGGGTGCTGTAGGAGGGGTCACGAGGGGTAGTGGGTGCTGTAGGAGAGGTCACGAGGGGTAGTGGGTGCTGTAGGAGGGGTCACGAGGGGTAGTGGGTGCTGTAGGAGGGGTCACGAGGGGTAGTGGGTGCTGTAGGAGGGGTCACGAGGGGTAGTGGGTGCTGTAGGAGGGGTCACGAGGGGTCGTGGGTGCTGTAGGAGGGGTCACGAGGGGCAGTGGGTGCTGTAGGAGGGGTGGTGGACAGGTAGGGAGCCAGGTCGTAGCCAAACATGAGGAAGTCAACACGATATCGTTCATAAAGAGCCAGAGTCAGCTCCCGTGGCACTCTCTGTGGTGGAGATAACAATAAAGCTATAATTATTCATACATATATATACATACACACATATATATTTATATAGGATAAATATGTAGGATAAAATAAATCATAGGCTTGCAATTTTAATTGTTGTGAAATTTGAAAAGAAAGTCTGTCCTGGTAACCAAATAAATGTAAGCCTTTGTCAACACACTCAAACATTGTCCCTGTGACGAACAGTCACACTGTTCTGTGTATATGCTACTGACTAATGACCATACTGTGCCCTACAGTGTACACTGTGCCCCACAGTGTACAGTGTGGCGCATAATGTGGGGCACAGTGTGGGCAGCAGTACAGTACTGGGTAACGGTGTTCGAAATGCTGTGCGAGTTAGTGGCTTTGTAAGAGTGTAAATACATCAATACTATGCACTCTCATGAAGCCTATATGTATTTTCTTGTATATAAATACACAGATAAATACATGTGGGAGAGAGTAGTACCTGGAAGAGTTGGATGGCGGTGTGGAGAGAGGAGGATGAGGTGTGGCGGTTCATCCACCAGTCGTCAGACGCATCCCCCAGCTGGTACTTGTGTAGGATGTACCTGCAACACATCCCTCGTTACCTCACCCGACACATCCCTCGTTACCTCACCCGACACACTCATTACCTCACCCGACACACTCGTTACCTCACCCGACACACTCGTTACCTCACCCGACACACGCGTTACCTCACCCAACACATCCCTCGTTACCTCACCCGACACATCCCTCGTTACCTCACCCGACACACTCGTTACCTCACCCGACACACTCGTTATACCTCACCCGACACACGCGTTACCTCACCCAACACATCCCTCGTTACCTCACCCAACACATCCCTCGTTACCTCACCCAACACATCCCTCGTTACCTCACCCGACACACTCGTTACCTCACCCGACACACGCGTTACCTCACCCAACACATCCCTCGTTACCTCACCCAACACATCCCTCGTTACCTCACCCAACACATCCCTCGTTACCTCACCCAACACATCCCTCGTTACCTCACCCAACACATCCCTCGTTACCTCACCCGACACACTCGTTACCTCACCCGACACACGCGTTACCTCACCCAACACACGCGTTACCTCACCCAACACATCCCTCGTTACCTCACCCAACACACGCGTTACCTCACCCAACACACGCGTTACCTCACCCAACACATCCCTCGTTACCTCACCCAACACATCCCTCGTTACCTCACCCAACACATCCCTCGTTACCTCACCCAACACACTCGTTACCTCACCAACACACACTCGTTACCTCACCAACACCTACGCGTTACACCCAACACACGCGTTACCTCACCCAACACACGCGTTACCTCACCCAACACACGCGTTACCTCACCCAACACACTCGTTACCTCACCCAACACACGCGTTACCTCACCCAACACACGCGTTACCTCACCCAACACACGCGTTACCTCACCCAACACACGCGTTACCTCACCCAACACACGCGTTACCTCACCCAACACACGCGTTACCTCACCCAACACACGCGTTACCTCACCTCAACACACGCGTTACCTCACCCAACACACGCGTTACCTCACCCAACACACGCGTTACCTCACCCAACACACGCGTTACCTCACCCAACACACGCGTTACCTCACCCAACACACGCGTTACCTCACCCAACACACTCGTTACCTCACCCAACACACGCGTTACCTCACCCAACACACTCGTTACCTCACCCAACACACGCGTTACCTCACCCAACACACTCGTTACCTCACCCAACACACGCGTTACCTCACCCAACACACGCGTTACCTCACCCGACACACGCGTTACCTCACCCAACACACTCGTTACCTCACCCAACACACGCGTTACCTCACCCGACACACGCGTTACCTCACCCGACACACGCGTTACCTCACCCGACACACGCGTTACCTCACCCGACACACGCGTTACCTCACCCAACACACTCGTTACCTCACCCAACACACTCGTTACCTCACCCAACACACGCGTTACCTCACCCGACACACGCGTTACCTCACCCAACACACTCGTTACCTCACCCAACACACCAACGCTCCATTTGTCACCTTATTTACTAACGTGGTAACTTGTCCTCTCGAATAATACACAGTATTTTATCGTCTAAATTAGCAACGGACAAAATATGATGTACTATAAATCACAGCGGCTCACAACCAACCACGTTTTCTATGCATGGATTTATCTGTTAAGTTCGGGCAATTTAGTACATCATTTTCTGTCCGTTGTGACAACTGGAGAGGCCGGGCTGCGTAACAATCATACCAGCTGAATTGGCTTCCCTAAGCTCATCTGACTTGACTGATGGTCGGACATAAACAATCCCATTATTAAACGACCCTTAAGGGCAAGTTGACATTGTTATTGATGATATATTGGACCTTAACCCCAAGGTGAACTATATCCCGTTTGTGTACAGGTGGCTGCAGGAGCAGAAGACTTCTGACTCCTGTTAGTCAATCCTCCTTAGCCAAGACTCGAACCCAGACAAAAATTGCGTCTACACTAAGAGGGCATACAATCATCTCTCAAGACCCGACCAGAAACGTCTACCTCGTGTCATCCTTCACTGTCTCCATGGTGCCGATGACGTCGTAGTGAATGTCGCAGGGCGCGCAGTTGGCGTAGTAAGGGAACCAATGGCGGTCGGTCATGGTGCGTCTCTTGGCCCAGATGTCGTCCTCGGCTGGCGTCACCTCCACCAGGAACCGCAGGAACTCCTCGAAGCTCGGTTTCCCGGCGGGGAGCCCAGAGTTGTGGGCCCGGTACTTCTTGATGACGAGGCTGCATATTCTGGTGAGAGAACCAGGCAGGTGTGTCGTGAACCAGGCAGGTGTGTCGTGAACCAGGCAGGTGTGTCGTGAACCAGGCAGATGAGTCGTGAACCAGGCAGGTGTGTCGTGAACCAGGCAGGTGTGTCGTGAACCAGGCAGGTGTGTCGTGAACCAGGCAGGTGTGTCGTGAACCAGGCAGGTGTGTCGTGAGCCAGGCAGGTGTGTCGTGAACCAGGCAGGTGTGTCGTGAACCAGGCAGGTGTGTCGTGAACCAGGCAGGTGTGTCGTGAACAAGGCAGGTGTGTCGTGAGCCAGGCAGGTGTGTCGTGAACCAGGCAGGTGTGTCGTGAACCAGGCAGGTGTGTCGTGAACCAGGCAGATGAGTCGTGAACCAGGCAGGTGTGTCGTGAACCAGGCAGGTGTGTCGTGAACCAGGCAGGTGTGTCGTGAACCAGGCAGGTGTGTCGTGAACCAGGCAGGTGTGTCGTGAACCAGGCAGATGAGTCGTGAACCAGGCAGGTGTGTCGTGAACCAGGCAGGTGTGTCGTGAACCAGGCAGGTGTGTCGTGAACCAGGCAGATGAGTCGTGAACCAGGCAGGTGTGTCGTGAACCAGGCAGGTGTGTCGTGAACCAGGCAGACGAGTCGTGAACCAGGCAGGTGTGTCGTGAACCAGGCAGGTGTGTCGTGAACCAGGCAGGTGTGTCGTGAACCAGGCAGATGAGTCGTGAACCAGGCAGGTGTGTCGTGAACCAGGCAGGTGTGTCGTGAACCAGGCAGGTGTGTCGTGAACCAGGCAGGTGTGTCGTGAACCAGGCAGACGAGTCGTGAACCAGGCAGGTGTGTCGTGAACCAGGCAGGTGTGTCGTGAACCAGGCAGGTGTGTCGTGAACCAGGCAGGTGAGTCGTGAACCAGGCAGGTGTGTCGTGAACCAGGCAGGTGTGTCGTGAACCAGGCAGGTGTGGGGTGGGCAAAGCCATGTGAGAAGCGTCATATATATAAATCAACCATCAACACCTAGTCATGCACAAGAAAATATATATTGAAAGGAACGTGAATTATTACACGAGAGCTCTCGGGGGCATTCAACACTTCTCCTGAAGGTGTGGGGAGTGTGGGTGAGCATGGAGACACTCTAAGACGAGGGGCGCTGTACCCTCTGCAGGTGGGTACAGCACCCTGCAAGGCGGTACACCACGCTCTTCAACACCACTCTGACGTACCGCCTGAGATACCCGGTGGCGACCTTGTCGAAGTAGGCGGAGACGAGGCGGACAAACGGGTGTCGGACGAGCATCACCGGGCCGAACTCCTCCATCAAGGCCAACGTGTCCTTACTGCTGGGGGAGAGATAGCAGAGACCCGTGATAACCCATATGTGTCTATATGTGTCTATATGCTGTCTATATGTGCCTATATGTGTCTATATGCTGTCTGTACACTGAACTTCATTACTAACAGTGACGAGTCCTGTTACAAAAATAAACTGTATTCAGAAAATTCAGAATGACATAAACACGTGACCATTGTACTCATAAAACATGTCATAATGATCAGTTGGAACACTGCTGGGAGTATCGCGATCGCTGGATCGAAGCACCTCGCTGCTCTAATTGATCCTCTCATCATGAGTAATGCTATGAGTAATATTAATGAGGAGAGGAGGGGGCGTGAGACCTGGTGCGGGGGTGTGGGGGCTTGAGGTGGGTGTAGGCGGCGTAGTGCCAGTTGGTGGCCTTCTCCAGCAGGCCCGGGAACCCTGCCTCCAGCAGGTACTTCGTCCACGTCGTCGTCCCCACCTGTAACATGTAGTGTGTGCGTTACTGTGGCTCGTCTGCCACTATTACTGTACCTGCTACTACTGCACCTGCTGCTACCCCTGCTCTTACAGCACCTGTTGCTACCCCTGCTCTTACTGTACCTGCTGCTACTGCATCTGCTGCTACCCCTGCTCTTACTGTACCTGCTGCTACTGCATCTGCTGCTACCCCTGCTCTTACTGTACCTGCTGCTACTGCATCTGCTGCTACCCCTGCTCTTACAGCACCTGCTGCTACCCCTGCTCTTACAGCACCTGCTGCTACCCCTGCTCTTACAGCACCTGCTGCTACCCCTGCTCTTACTGTACCTGCTGCTACCCCTGCTCTTACTGTACCTGCTGCTACCCCTGCTCTTACAGCACCTGCTGCTACCCCTGCTCTTACAGCACCTGCTGCTACCCCTGCTCTTACAGCATCTGCTGTTACCCCTGCTCTTACAGCACCTGTTGCTACCCCTGCTCTTACTGTACCTGCTGCTACCCCTGCTCTTACTGTACCTGCTGCTACCCCTGCTCTTACAGCACCTGCTGCTACCCCTGCTCTTACAGCACCTGCTGCTACCCCTGCTCTTACAGCATCTGCTGTTACCCCTGCTCTTACAGCATCTGCTGTTACCCCTGCTCTTACAGCACCTGCTGCTACCCCTGCTCTTACAGCACCTAAGAACATAAGAACAACATAAGAACAAAGGTAACTGCAGAAGGCCTATTGACCCATACGAGGCAGCTCCTATTCTATAACCACCCAATCCCACTCATATACTTGTCCAACCCGTGCTTGAAACAATCGAGGGACCCCACCTCCACAATGTTACGCGGCAATTGGTTCCACAAATCAACAACCCTGTTACTGAACCAGTATTTACCCAAGTCTTTCCTAAATCTAAACTTATCCAATTTATATCCATTGTTTCGTGTTCTGTCCTGTGTTGATACTTTTAATACCCTATTAATATCCCCCCGGTTATGTCCATTCATCCACTTGTAAACCTCTATCATGTCACCCCTAACTCTTCGCCTTTCCAGTGAACAAAAGGCGAAGGTAGCAGCTACCTGCTGCTACCCCTGCTCTTACTGTACCTGCTGTTACCCCTGCTCTTACATCACCTGCTCTTACAGCACCTGCTGCTACCCCTGCTCTTACTGTACCTGCTGCTACTGCATCTGCTGTTACCCCTGCTCTTACAGCACCTGCTGCTACCCCTGCTCTTACTGTACCTGCTGCTACCCCTGCTCTTACTGTACCTGCTGCTACCCCTGCTCTTACTGTACCTGCTGCTACTGCATCTGCTGTTACCCCTGCTCTTACAGCACCTGCTGCTACCCCTGCTCTTACTGTACCTGCTGCTACCCCTGCTCTTACTGTACCTGCTGCTACCCCTGCTCTTACAGCACCTGCTGCTACCCCTGCTCTTACAGCACCTGCTGCTACCCCTGCTCTTACAGCATCTGCTGTTACCCCTGCTCTTACAGCACCTGCTGCTACCCCTGCTCTTACAGCACCTGCTGCTACCCCTGCTCTTACAGCACCTGCTGCTACCCCTGCTCTTACAGCACCTGCTGCTACCCCTGCTCTTACTGTACCTGCTGCTACCCCTGCTCTTACTGTACCTGCTGTTACCCCTGCTCTTACTGTACCTGCTGCTACCCCTGCTCTTACAGCACCTGCTGCTACCCCTGCTCTTACAGCACCTGCTGCTACCCCTGCTCTTACAGCACCTGCTGCTACCCCTGCTCTTACAGCACCTGCTGCTACCCCTGCTCTTACTGTACCTGCTGTTACCCCTGCTCTTACTGTACCTGCTGCTACCCCTGCTCTTACAGCACCTGCTGTTACCCCTGCTCTTACTGTACCTGCTGCTACTGCATCTGCTGCTACCCCTGCTCTTACAGCAACTAATTATACTGTAACAACTGCCGCAACTATTATTATTCAATTCGAAAACGAGTTGTTTCTAATATATGATCCTGCCTGCTGCATGCTCACAATAATAAGACGATGTTGTTGTTGTTGTATAACTGACAACAAAAAGGATAACGACACTAAATAATTTCCATAAAATATCATTGGAGAGCAAACACAAGTCAGAAGGTTACACACACGGTCCCTCTCGCCGGACCCGCAAGCAAGGACTCCCGCCCCCTTAAGATGCTAATGAAGATCTAGGTTAATACGAGTCAACACCTCCCACGCCCTCCTACTTAGTACGAGGTTCAAGACTCACACCTTGCTCGCTCTGTGTCTCTCTGTGTCTCTCTGTGTCTCTCTGTCTCTCTCTGTCTCTCTCTGTCTCTCTGTGTCTCTCTGTGTCTCTCTGTGTCTCTCTGTGTCTCTCTGTCTCTCTCTCTCTCTCTCTCTCTCTCTCTCTCTCTCTCTCTCTCTCTCTCTCTCTCTCTCTCTCTCTCTCTCTCTCTCTCTCTCTCTCTCTCTCTCTCTCTCTCTCTCTCTCTCTCTCTCTCTCTCTCTCTCTCTCTCCTTCTCACCTTGGCGTTGAAGCACATGACCAGGTTGTGGGAGGGGAGCCAGCGGAGTCTGGTGAGGGGCGCCGCAGCCACGGAGCCGTACGACACAGTGCCAGCCAGGTCGTGGCACACCTTGGAGACGCGCGCCCTCCGCTCTTCGTACACCTGGAGGCCGCCGGTGCCATGGAGGGAAGTACACAGTCAACCACTGCACTATTACATACTGTATACACGCCATCTGCTAGCCTCATCACGGCCTCACATCACTGGGGCGTTCGGTCACAACAGGTGGTCACGTGACAGCACATGGAAGAAATGCAATCATTTTCGAGGACGTGTTCACCGTGACTGTAATCTTTGTTGATTTAAAGCAAAATGTGAGGTTTCACCATGTGTTTATCACCCTTGGCTGCTCACCACATAGGGAGCCGGTCGGCCGAGCGAACAGCACACTGGACTTGTGATCCTGTGGTCCCGGGTTCGATCCCGGGCGCCGGCGAGAAACAATGGGAAGAGTTTCTTTCAACCTATACCCCTGTTACCTAGCAGTAAAATAGGTACCTGGGTGTTAGTCAGCTGTCACGGGCTGCTTCCTGGGGGTGGAGGCCTGGTAGAGGACCGGGCCGCGGGGACACTAAAGCCCCGAAACCATCTCAAGATAACCTTCCCCACAACACAGTACGAAGTCTGGTACTGTTTCATTCACCTGGGTTCTAAGAGACTCGAACCGCGGGCCCCCCACGTGTGTGAGGCCGAAGCTCTATGGACTGGGCTATAAGTAGTCTTAATAAGAAAACATTCAAGAAGCAATTACTGCTGCCAAGCTGGAATTTTCGACTTTCTAGTACTGTCATCATACGTTAATGATATCACTATCTTCAACAATTGTTACCCAGAAATGTCATTAACCTTCAGATAGAGTACTTTATGACAATTAAATGGTGCATATTGGGATGACTCTCACCCTGTTGATGTTAAAACAGTAATGATGTAAACTCTCATATTACTCCAAGTCCTCACTGTATACCCCAGTCACTAGTTTGACTTCTTTAAGATCGACTATCTTAAAGATTGACTATCTTTTAAGATTAACTTAAAATTCACTGCAAATAAAGCTTAATAAAAGCTAAAATTATTTATTTGTTGAAGAGGAAGGATGGCGGCCCTCGGACCGGTGAGTGAGAAGAAGTCTTAACATATAACAACTACCCAACCACTTGGGCTGAACGGTAGAGCGACGGTCTCGCTTCATGCAGGTCGCGTTCAATCCCCGACCGTCCAAGTGTTTGGGCACCATTCCTTCCCTCCGTCCCATCCCAAATCCTTATCCTGACCCCTTCCAAGTGCTTTATAGTCATAATGGCTTGGTGCTTTCTCCTCGTATTTCCTTCCTTCCTACACGACGGGAAGGACGTTGAACACACGCGACAAAGATCTAGCAAATAATGTTTAGGGGGAATGGGGGGGACTTAAACAAGCCGCTGGCTTCCTGTACTCTCCCAAGCCACTAGAGATAGTGATCCTCGGCTCAATTCAACACTATGTGGGGTATGTATGTTTCGCACGTCAGGCGGTAGACCTATTAGTACATGAATATATAGAAATGTTTATCAATCAGGCACACACAGTGGTTTAGATTGTAAAGGAGGTAAGATGATTATAGGGCCTTCATTGAGCACTTAGAAGGGATAGGCGAGAACCCGGCAATGTGATGTTATAGTGGCCAGAATACGCCTGGGATATAGACGTATCTGGCAGCTTTCTCAAAACCCAAATGTCGAGTACACAATGTGTCAACTTTGTGAAAGAGAAAACATGCACTATCTTGAACATTATATTGTAGAATGTCTCATACTGACTGACTTTCGCCCTCCTGGGCTAAGGTATGCTGAACTCTGTAGTTACTATATGAGTACTGGAACACATGATGATATATTGGACTTGTATCCAAGATTGACCATGTAATATATCAATCATACGATGTATATATATGATGTAACTATATAACCTGAGCTTGTAAAAGCCCCTTCATCACCTTCAGTGATTAAGTGCTTAATTGCACACTAGTTTCTTTATCAACTACCTCACCCTGTCAGAGTAAATGAGACAAATGTATGTGAATGCATGTGTGTGTGTGTGTGTGTGTGTGTGTGTGTGTGTGTGTGTGTGTGTGTGTGTGTGTGTGTGTGTGTGTGTGTGTGTGTGTGTGTGTGTATATGTATGTATATGTGTGTGTGTGTATGTATATGTATGGGAATAAAGTATATATGGAAGCTGATCAGAATTACATTTCACCTTTGTGAATGTACATTAATGACACTATGTAAAAGACACATCAAACACTTTATGCAGCGCATACGTAAATCTGTGTATCTATGTATTTACGTATGTAGGTTAGCTTAGCACTTTAAAAGCACCGAATCACCTTCTGTGGTTGAGTGTTCAATAAACCCTAGAACTATATGTTTAACACTTCTCTAACCCTGTCCATGGAGGACAGAAGAAAATGTATATATTCTGGTTAGCATTGTAAATGTGTGGCCACGTCTGTGGTAGAAAAAAAAAAAAAAAAAATAGGGATAGGCGGACCAGCAGCTGGGACAGGACAGAGGGAAGGAACAGTGCTCAGCCACCTGGGTCGTCGAGTATCGAACACCGACTTTGCAAGGAGCGAGGCCGTTGTTGTACCGAGCAGTGCAGGTGGTTGGTGGTTGTATAAGGAAGAATAAGCTAGTGACGAGGTCGAGGAAACAACACCACCACAACACCACGCTGGTGCAGCTCCCCCCCCCCATCCTACAACTCAACCATCTTCCCATCACACACAACACAACTTGATCATTGACATCACTATAACAATTACCAAGATATAAATAAACAAAAGGTATTAACAGCTGACAGAATATAAATATAACCCACCTTCTCTCTTGCCTTGATAAATGCTTCATCTACACTATCATTTCTTTCACCGCGGCGTATACTTCTGTAGTTGTGAGTTCCGTCGCTTACATTGTATACTGCTGGGAAGGAAGATCTTAAGACCTCAGGGGATTGATCTAAACCACCTTCTTCTTCATAATCATTACTCTGAGACGCATCAAAATCTCCATCATTGTTCTTAAGGACCACTTGCACCGCGCCATTTCCCTCACCCACATTCCCAGCACGTAGGAACCGCTCTTGCTTCACCAGCACAGCCAAGCTCTGCAAATATAATAATCATTAGCTAATGTCACGAATCAGCGCAGGACAGACAAGAGGAGACACCTCTCCACCCACACGGTGTTAATGGGGGTCATCTAGCACCCAGAGCCCTACATCTCCACCCACACGGTGTTAATGGGGGTCATCTAGCACCTACAGCCCTACATCTCCACCCACACGGTGTTAATGGGGGTCATCTAGCACCCAGAGCCCTACATCTCCACCCACACGGTGTTAATGGGGGTCATCTAGCACCCAGAGCCCTACAACACCACCCACACGGTGTTAATGTAGGTCATCTAGCACCTACAGCCCTACATCTCCACCCACACGGTGTTAATGGAGGTCATCTAGCACCTACAGCCCTACAACACCACCCACACGGTGTTAATGGAGGTCATCTAGCACCTACAGCCCTACATCTCCACCCACACGGTGTTAATGTAGGTCATCTAGCACCTACAGCCCTACATCTCCACCCACACGGTGTTAATGTAGGTCATCTAGCACCTACAGCCCTACATCTCCACCCACACGGTGTTAATGGGGGTCATCTAGCACCTACAGCCCTACATCTCCACCCACACGGTGTTAATGGGGGTCATCTAGCACCTACAGCCCTACATCTCCACCCACACGGTGTTAATGGGGTCATCTAGCACCCAGAGCCCTACATCTCCACCCACACGGTGTTAATGGGGGTCATCTAGCACCTACAGCCCTACATCTCCACCCACACGGTGTTAATGGGGGTCATCTAGCACCCAGAGCCCTACATCTCCACCCACACGGTGTTAATGGGGGTCATCTAGCACCCAGAGCCCTACATCTCCACCCACACGGTGTTAATGGGGGTCATCTAGCACCCAGAGCTCTACATCACCACCCACACGGTGTTAATGGGGGTCATCTAGCACCTACAGCCCTACATCTCCACCCACACGGTGTTAATGGGGGTCATCTAGCACCTACAGCCCTACATCTCCACCCACACGGTGTTAATGGGGGTCATCTAGCACCTACAGCCCTACATCTCCACCCACACGGTGTTAATGGGGGTCATCTAGCACCTACAGCCCTACATCTCCACCCACACGGTGTTAATGGGGGTCATCTAGCACCTACAGCCCTACATCTCCACCCACACGGTGTTAATGGGGGTCATCTAGCACCTACAGCCCTACATCTCCACCCACACGGTGTTAATGGGGGTCATCTAGCACCCAGAGCCCTACATCTCCACCCACACGGTGTTAATGGGGGTCATCTAGCACCTACAGCCCTACAACACCACCCACACGGTGTTAATGGAGGTCATCTAGCACCTACAGCCCTACATCTCCACCCACACGGTGTTAATGGGGGTCATCTAGCACCCAGAGCCCTACATCTCCACCCACACGGTGTTAATGGGGGTCATCTAGCACCCAGAGCCCTACATCTCCACCCACACGGTGTTAATGGGGGTCATCTAGCACCCAGAGCCCTACATCTCCACCCACACGGTGTTAATGGGGATCATCTAGCACCCAGAGCCCTACATCTCCACCCACACGGTATTAATGGGGGTCATCTAGCACCCAGAGCCCTACATCTCCACCCACACGGTGTTAATGGAGGTCATCTAGCACCTACAGCCCTACATCTCCACCCACACGGTGTTAATGGGGGTCATCTAGCACCCAGAGCCCTACATCTCCACCCACACGGTGTTAATGGAGGTCATCTAGCACCTACAGCCCTACATCTCCACCCACACGGTGTTAATGGGGGTCATCTAGCACCCAGAGCCCTACATCTCCACCCACACGGTGTTAATGGAGGTCATCTAGCACCTACAGCCCTACATCTCCACCCACACGGTGTTAATGGAGGTCATCTAGCACCTACAGCCCTACATCTCCACCCACACGGTGTTAATGGGGGTCATCTAGCACCCAGAGCCCTACATCTCCACCCACACGGTGTTAATGGGGGTCATCTAGCACCCAGAGCCCTACATCTCCACCCACACGGTGTTAATGGGGGTCATCTAGCACCCAGAGCTCTACATCACCACCCACACGGTGTTAATGGGGGTCATCTAGCACCTACAGCCCTACATCTCCACCCACACGGTGTTAATGGGGGTCATCTAGCACCCAGAGCCCTACATCTCCACCCACACGGTGTTAATGGGGGTCATCTAGCACCCAGAGCCCTACATCTCCACCCACACGGTGTTAATGGGGGTCATCTAGCACCCAGAGCCCTACATCTCCACCCACACGGTGTTAATGGGAGTCATCTAGCACCCAGAGCTCTACATCACCACCCACACGGTGTTAATGGGGGTCATCTAGCACCTACAGCCCTACATCTCCACCCACACGGTGTTAATGGGGGTCATCTAGCACCTACAGCCCTACATCTCCACCCACACGGTGTTAATGGGGGTCATCTAGCACCTACAGCCCTACATCTCCACACACACGGTGTTAATGGGGGTCATCTAGCACCCAGAGCCCTACATCTCCACCCACACGGTGTTAATGGGGGTCATCTAGCACCCAGAGCTCTACATCACCACCCACACGGTGTTAATGGGGGTCATCTAGCACCTACAGCCCTACATCTCCACCCACACGATGTTAATGGGGGTCATCTAGCACCTACAGCCCTACATCTCCACCCACACGGTGTTAATGGGGGTCATCTAGCACCCAGAGCCCTACATCTCCACCCACACGGTGTTAATGGGGATCATCTAGCACCCAGAGCCCTACATCTCCACCCACACGGTGTTAATGGGGGTCATCTAGCACCCAGAGCTCTACATCACCACCCACACGGTGTTAATGGGGGTCATCTAGCACCTACAGCCCTACATCTCCACCCACACGGTGTTAATGGGGGTCATCTAGCACCTACAGCCCTACATCTCCACCCACACGGTGTTAATGGAGGTCATCTAGCACCCAGAGCCCTACATCACCACCCACACGGTGTTAATGGAGGTCATCTAGCACCCAGAGCTCTACATCACCACCCACACGGTGTTAATGGAGGTCATATAGCACCCAGAGCTCTACATCACCACCCACACGGTGTTAATGGAGGTCATCTAGCACCCAGAGCCCTACATCACCACCCACACGGTGTTAATGGAGGTCATCTAGCACCCAGAGCCCTACATCACCACCCACACGGTGTTAATGGAGGTCATCTAGCACCCAGAGCCCTACATCACCACCCACACGGTGTTAATGGGGGTCATCTAGCACCCAGAGCCCTACATCACCACCCACACGGTGTTAATGGAGGTCATCTAGCACCTACAGCCCTACATCACCACCCACACGGTGTTAATGGAGGTCATCTAGCACCCAGAGCCCTACATCACCACCCACACGGTGTTAATGGGGGTCATCTAGCACCCAGAGCCCTACATCACCACCCACACGGTGTTAATGGGGGTCATCTAGCACCCAGAGCTCTACATCACCACCCACACGGTGTTAATGGAGGTCATCTAGCACCCAGAGCCCTACATCACCACCCACACGGTGTTAATGGAGGTCATCTAGCACCCAGAGCCCTACATCACCACCCACACGGTGTTAATGGGGGTCATCTAGCACCCAGAGCCCTACATCACCACCCACACGGTGTTAATGGGGGTCATCTAGCACCCAGAGCTCTACATCACCACCCACACGGTGTTAATGGGGGTCATCTAGCACCCAGAGCCCTACATCACCACCCACACGGTGTTAATTTAGGTCATCTAGCACCCAGAGCCCTACATCACCACCCACACGGTGTTAATGGGGGTCATCTAGCACCCAGAGCCCTACATCACCACCCACACGGTGTTAATGGGGGTCATCTAGCACCCAGAGCCCTACATCTCCACCCACACGGTGTTAATGGGGGTCATCTTGCACCCAGAGCCCTACATCACCACCCACACGGTGTTAATGGGGGTCATCTAGCCCCCAGAGCCCTACATCTCCACCCACACGGTGTTAATGGGGGTCATCTAGCACCCAGAGCCCTACATCACCACCCACACGGTGTTAATGGGGTCATCTAGCACCCAGAGCCCTACATCACCACCCACACGGTGTTAATGGGGTCATCTAGCACCCAGAGCCCTGCAACACAAGGCAACACGTCCAGTGTGAAAAACACACACTCCGGTTTTCTCTATATTTATAAAACTGTAAATGCAGTATTAATCCTGACCTCAAAAGCTGCTAAGGTGACAGAGAGAACCCATGGTAAGAGGACTGAGAGAGAACCCATGGTAAGAGGACTGAGAGAGAACCCATGG